CTTTCTTATCATCAAACAATGATTTTAAAATGTCATCTACTGAGAGCTCAATCAATTCCAACTATAATTTTTAAGTGCCTTGGTGATATCAACTAGGTGAGGCTGAAATGCTAATTTGAGTGTGATGTCATGATTCTCAAAGTCAGTGAACCTTTCGTTGTATTCTCCAATTAATAGGTCTATAACAGCTGTGTATTCTTCAAATTATTCACGTATAAAAGATATCAAAAAAGATAACTTTTTTCAAAATCCTTGGATTTTTGCCACGTCATATATAGACTTAGTTTTACCTTACAAAGAAATATTCAAGTCATTTTTATTTGACGTGATATCACACAGAAATGCAGCATTCCTATAGAAATGTTCTTTCAATAATTCACATTGCTGATTCTGTTCTTCATAAAATTTAATTATCTGTTCTCACAGAGATAAAATTTTGTCTAACACCTGTCCCTGCCGATAGCCAATACACTTTAGAATGATATGGCAAATCCACACTGAATACCTCATCGTTCAACTTTAGCATATTATGAAACTGACGATGCCATGTTGCATTTGCATGAATGTAGTTAACAATACTTATAACTTGTTGCAAAGTGTCATTTAAAGTAGTAGCTTTAGCACAGAGATTTTGCTGATGCAAGATATAGTGAAAAGAAATGAAAGCATCTAGATTTATTAATACTTTTTTTAATCTGTGCAATAAACCCTTCATGTTTTCCTGTCATGAAAGGTGCACTACATACACTCACTAAATCTACTTGAAATTTGTTAAGGATATCTATTCCCTGTGTTCTGTTTGCGAGTGTCCAAAGCAAGTAATTCTTTGTAGCAAAGAAAATCTTCTGTTATGACCTAAATGAAATATAAAACCTGAGCCTAGTCGGTAGTATCAATTGATTCATCCAAAGTGAGTGAATAATATATATTTTTCTTTTGAAGTATTGAATGAAGTTATTCTGTTAAGTTGAAAGCTAATTCGTGCTGCCAGTCAGTTATGGTTTTCCTTGAAAGAGGCAGTTGTTTTTACTTTACAAGGTTATCAGGGTCTAAGCATCCTACAACTTTGACAATGCATCCTTTTACAATTTCTACATCACTGAATGGCTTCCCTTTTCCCCCTGAATATATAAGCTACTTTATAAGTTGCTTCAGTGACATTATTTCCAGGTCCTATCACTACTTGAAAAAATTACTTACTTTTCATCTTTTAATTTCACAATACAACCTTTCACACCTCTTCCTCTAATATAAAATATTTGTGGTCCTTATGAGTGTTATAACGCTAAAGAGCATTTAATGTTTGATGTTGCAGTATCACAAAGCAAGCAAATCATCTTATCTTTAGCAGAAACAAGATAATATTACAGCTCCCAATCCTCATTAAAAAATCTGTTTTCTTCCTTCAACATTCTCTTCTTGGACATGATGGCCTATTAAACAGATAGAATTAAAAGATCCTATCTAGCTGTGCAACTATTCACAAATTCCACTTCAAACGGAAACACAATGCACCATTGTCAAGAGCTAGTAACAGACTGGCATACTCGACCCACATAAACTCTCACCAACCAGCCTCGTGTAGTAGTGGCACCAGTCAGGTGGGGGGGCATCAGAACTAAATAATGAGCATAGCAGCCATCAATTTAGCCCTTAAGGTTTACTAATGTTCTAATTGTGCCAATCAATCTGGAAGGATTATTTAGTGGAAACTTATTTTATTCTTTAGTATTTTAAATATGTTCATTTTAAAAATAAAATAAAAATATAAAAAATGACAAAATATATTAATAAAAATAAAAGGATTTGTTCAGTAAAATTTAGATTCGGTCAGAAGCCCACACTTAAGGATCTAGAAGGCCACATGTGGCCTTAAGGCTTCAGGTTCCCCACCCCTGTCCTAGACATTCTGTGCTCTCTCTTAGTTCTTCTCTGCTCTTTCTTACTGATTCTTCTCAGTCTTCTTTCATGTATCTTCGTTCAGGTCTTGCCTACTATTGGTGCCTCCCAGAAGTATGTCCTGTGCCCTTTTCTCTTTTCCCTCTTTAGTGATCTCATCAGCTCCCATGCATTCAATTATCTCTATCAGATGATTCCCAGCTATTACATATCCAGCCCTAATCTCTGAGTACTAATCTTACATCACCATCTGTCTTTTACACATGTCAAACTAGAATGTGCCATAGACATCTCATATTCAACATGTACAAAACAAGACTCATTGGGGCAGCTAGGTGGCACAGTGGATAGAGCACCAGCCCTAGATTCAGGAGGACGTGAGTTCAAATGTGACCTCAGACACTTGACACTTACTAGCTGTGTGACCCTGGGCAAGTCACTTAACCCCATTGCCTAGCCAAAAATAAATAAACAAACAAACAAACAAACAAACAAGACTCATTAACTCTCCCCCAAAACCCTCCCTGCTTCCTACCTATCAAAAGTACTGTCAAAGGCACCACCATCCTCCCAATCACCCAGGCTTGCAACTTTGATGTCATCCTCAACTCCTCTCTCATTCCAAACATCTAGTCTATTGCCAAGTCTTGTTGTTTCTACCTTCACAACATCTCCCCTGTATATCCCTTTCTTTCCACATACACAGCTGTCACCCTGTTGCAAGCCCTCATCACCCTTCATTCCTGGACTATTGCAATGACCTTGTAATTGTTCTCCCTGCCTCAATTCTCTCCTCATTCCAGCCATCCTCTATTTAGCTGTCAAAGTGATTGTCCTAAATTTAACGTCTGACCACATCACCCTTCCCTTCTTGATGATTTCCAGTGCTTCCTTATTACCTTCAGAATAAAATATAAAATCCTCTGTTTGGCATGTAAAGCTCTTCACAACCTGGCTCCTTTCTACCTAGTTATCTTATATTTTACTCCCCTCCACACACTCTGTGATACAGCTATACTAGTCTACTTGCTGTTCTTTACACATAATACTCCATCCTCCAAGTCCATGATTTTACACTGGCTTTCTCTCATGCCTGAAATGCTGTACCTCCTCATGTCTGACACTTGACTTCCTTAAGACCTCAGCCTAAATCCTATCCTTGAGATTACCTTCCATTCACACTGTATATACCACTTATTTTCAGTTATTCTCCTACCGCCACCACAATTATAATGTGAGCTCCTTGAGGATAAAGGGCCATGTTTTTATCTTTTAATCCCTAGCATTTAGAACAGTGTCTGGTACAATAAGCACTATAATACATGTACTTGTTAACTGAATATGAATCAAATGATTTTTCATAATCAGTACAAACAATAAGCACAGTGAAATCACATATTCCCTACAAATTTCACTCAGTTGAATGATGGTAATGATGTGATCTATTACAGAATCACTTTTTACAATTGTGCCACCTCCAGTGTAGATACTCGATCTAATGCAGTGCTTTCCCTATCTTTGTTCTCTTTAATGCCATTTCTTCTCTTCTATGAATGTCTCTATAACTATGATGTTAGAGTCAAGTGTGGTGGCTTTACTGTCCTTGACGGTGAAAAGTACATTTTAAAATTTTTGCACATTGTTTGTACTTTGGCTAAAAAGTGTGAATCATCATGAAAAAGAATAAATTACTAATAAATTTCTACCACACAATATGAGAATGAGATGAGAGATTCTTCAGTCTTGTAGGTTAAAGGAAACTAATATTCTTTGGAAAATAGTGGAAAATCAGGCAGAAATAGTTTAATAGTTTAGTATCCTATTATAGTTTCTAGACCTCAGCTTCCTATCTATTCAATTACTGCTCATGAACCCCCATTTTCTCCAATGACCCTTCCCCTAGGCCATCCATGATTGGATTGTCATGTAATATCAGAGCAATGGAGTTACCTAAAATAGAATGTCAGATATAGAACCAGATAAGAATTAAGCAAATGTTCTTACCACCCATTCCCAAATTACATCCTCCCCAAATTCCAGAGAATGTAGTTTGTAAGTCCTCTTAGTTCTCATGTCATTTTATCAGCTCATCATCATTAGCTAGTAGAATAGGAAATTAGATTTGTGAGTCTATTCTCTTACTATTCCTTATTCTACTATATCATGATGCCATAAAAACATAGGGGACAGTAAGGAGTCATTAGCAATTTTCCCAGCAATAAAACCCAGTAACCTTGAGGTCTGAAAGGTACTTTATCTCAGTACTAGATCTGTAAAGATATTGACAATTTGCAACAACTTCTCACATTGGGAGTTGTAACTGGAAAGATATCTGCATCTATTGTTTCTCAGAACATAATACCTCTTTGAAGTAGCAGAACTCAGATGTAACTGTACAAGAGTTTTCTGACTCAATATCCATTTTCCTTACTTTTCATGTCTTGACTGTATCTTCCTGCATCTCATTAATCTCATGAGTCTTTGCAATCAGCTTTTTTACTGCTCAGTACAAACATTCCCCTCCACCCAGAGTCTATACCACTATAATATTGTCACCAGCTGAGCGCCAGCTTGTGGAAGATAAAGTCCCTCAACTTGCTATCAGTTCTGTAGGGGTGACATGTTCTCTCCTTGAAAACCAGATCTCCTAGAATCCTGGGTAAAGCACAGCAAGTGAAATGCTACCCAGCATGGGTACTAGTGGGAGAGAGTAGACTTACAAACCTGCTTTTCTAACATTCCCTTTAGGAGACTGATGTCAGTGTTGTGAATGCAGAGCTGAGAAGACTAACACTTATCTTTCTCTGGAAAGTCTGACAGGTTGTAGTTTGGGAAATGGGTGGTAAGAATGATCACTGCTAGATTCTTATCGCTTGTTAATACCTCTACATCCTGTTTTAAGTAAATGTGCTCTTATATTACTATGATATCATAGCATTAATTCTGGCTAATTGGGAAGAATCAGTGGGAAAAAATAGAGCCTTTGGTGAACCCAAACTGCTTCCAGGAACCTGAATAAGGCAGTAGGGTGCCATATTCATAAGTCAAAAGAATGACGTGTAAATACATTCATTGTTTTGTTTTGTTTTTTCTTTAAACAGGCCAAGAAGCGGGAGGAGATTCTTCATCTGTTAAGAAAACAAAGAGAAGAGAGAATAGAGGTGAGACTGATACTGAGAAATGTACATGAACTTCCCTGGAGGGACAGAGTGTAGTAAATGTTTTGTAATATATGGACACTATGTTTATTCAGTCCACATTTTTTTAAATAGGCAAAATTCAGTCAGTATGTCATGAGCAATGACTAAAAGAAAAATCTACTTCATTTATGTCTAAGTCAAATCATTTTTTTTTTCAGAAGGAACTGGTTTCCCTTCTTCATAAGCCAAAGGTCAAGGTACCCCAAACAAAGTAAGTTTAAACCTTTCAAAATAATTTCTCCCATTTCTAGTTCCCTAGTTAAGGATGTGTTTTATTATAGAGGAGTGGAAAGAAAACATTTGACTTTGAATCAGAAGACCAGTGTTCAAAGATCAGCTCTGGCACTTATTATTTGTGTGCCCTGAAGTATTTGAACCATCTAACCTTTCTGAGCTTCAGTTTCCTCATTTGTAGAATGGGAATAATATTTGCACTTCCTGCCTTTGAGAATTATAGGGAATGTGCTTTAAATAAAGCTCTATAAAGTACTTGAAGTACTATGTAAATGTGAGTTATTATTAGTAATTATATAGTCAGAAGTTATTTTTTTTTTATATTCTGTCCTGCCGGGACTCCATTGCTGGGACTAAATAATCTAGTCAATGGTCAATTGAAACAATTGGATAATAGGGAATGCACCTGTAATTTCGTTGGTAAAGGGAACTCCCATATGAAGAAACCTGCTCCACCAATGCACGTTTGGCACTTTCTCTGTAACCAGTAGTCTTAGAGAGTTACCTAGAACAATGATATTAAACTAAGATAGAAAAGGGCCACAAAACTGTACATGAGAATCCCTGCTAGCTGTATATTGACTTAGAAAACCATGTATTATTAACATTATCTATGTTCCATTGTCTTTTTATTTTGTTAAATTATTTCCCAATTACATTTTAATCTGGTTCTGACCACACAGGCCCCATGTTTGATACCTCTGACCCAGAGCACTAAGAAGTTAAAAGACTTGTCCAGGGTCATACAATGGCCTTCCTGGCTTCAAGGGTGACTGTAGAACAGATAAACTCTTTGATTTGGTGCATTAAAAAGATCACATAGATTAACTCGACATGCCAAACAGAGCACCAGAGGGAAGGCGGTAGCAACAGGGAAAGAACATTAGAGCAATAACTACCCCTAAAACTGGGGCAACAATTGACACCCCCCCCCAATTAGGGCAGCACCCACACCCAAACTAGCAGCAGGTAATATTTCCAAAATGTGACTGAGAAGTACAGAGGAAAGAGACCTCTTATAGTTGAAGGACCTGGGTTCAAATTCTGCTTCAGACACTTTCTTCCTATGTGATCCTAGGGCAAGTCACTTAACCTACCTGGATATCAATTTTCTTATTTATGATATGAGAGGGTTAGCCTAAATGGCCTCCAAGGTCCCGTCTGGCTCTTGATCTTTAATGCCTTCTAAAACAATTATCTTACTTACTTCATGTTCAGTAAGCATTAATATGCTGATTACTGAGATCAGTTTAAGAAAGAGATGAAACAGACGTGAGTAATTTGGAGAAAATCTTTTATCATTGCTTCCTTCTCCTGAGGACTATTTTTGTGTCATGAGCCTAGGTCCTCTGACAAGAATACAAGACCTATGGGATTGAAGGAAAGACTATTAAAATCCAGCCCTCGCCCTGCAACTTTCTAACATGGCTTGCCACCTTTCAGCTCTCTATGCAAGGCACAAGTAACCTTTCTGTGTGGTGAGTGAGACAAGTTTCCAGTATTCTCCAGGATTCACTGAAAGAGCATTCACAAACTTAACAATGTTACCTTGCATAAAGTTATCAAACCAGACCCGTCCTGTGTTCTTATACCTTCAAGAATTGTGCAGAATGTGTTCCTATCTCTTACTTATTTGGAAAAATAGCATTTTAAGGGCTAAAATACCCTGAAGTTGCTCAACAGCCCTCAATTTGCCCTTAAAGTAATGTTCTGCATTGGTGGCAAATTCAGGTAAACTATATTGGAATTTCATAGGAAATTATTAATAAGCATAAGCCCAGGTCAGAATGTGCTTTTAAGCATTTGAAAAGAAGGTAGAAATAATAATGACTAATGTGTATATAGTGTTTTAAGGTTTGCAAAGTCTTTTGAAAAATACACTATTTCATTTGATCCTCACAACAAACCTATGAGATAAGAGCCACTTATTATTTATTATTTATTTATTATCCCCATTTTACAGATGAGCAAACTGAGGCTGAAAGGTTAAATGACTTGCCCAGGGTCACAAAGCTAGTAAGTAGTTAGTAAGAAAGATTTGAATCCATTTCTTCCCAGACCCCAGGTCTAGTACTGAACTACTAGCAGACTGACTAATTGGAGAGCCAGCTGAACAACAACCCAGATTTATTTAGCACTAGTTTTTTAAAGCACTTTCCTCATAAGGACCCTTGAGGTAAGTGAGTATTATCATCCCCATTTACAAATGGATTACAAATAGTTTACTGAATCCTATGGCAAATAGTTTTACCAGAGAAGAGAAGAGACAAAAGCTAGCAATGTCATTACTTGGGCTCTAAGGAGATTTCATGAAACAATTTCCTTAAGCCAAAGAAGGTGACTTCATAATTGATGCAAGTGCTCTTTTCCATTATGAGGACATATTTGTTGAAAAAATAAAATAAAATAAAATAAAATAAACAGGAACCGTACAAACATCCCAGAGGGTGGGGAGGAAGGATAGTTTGATTTACAGTGTTAATAGAAACTCCATCCTTTCATCAATTAGAAAATCTGAGCATTTGAGATGGCTTTGTAAACTCTGAAAAAATAAGGACCAAGGTCATATATTGGTTTGTAGAGAACAGACTATAGAACTAACATTAATCAGGGGTCCCCATTCATAACACATATCCTACAAAAGAGGCTATCTCATTCATTAATCACCACTCAGCTTTTGTTCCCATCAGGGAACCGGAAGTATAAACATTTAGGGTTTGGGGTTTTTTGTGATTACTAATATCCTGTCAATGTGTTTCAACTTGCATATTACTGAGCCTGAGCCCTCAAAGACACACAGTCTTAGTCTATCATTTTTATTACAATAAAATTCATTGATGCTGAGTTTACTCATAGCTTGAGTCTTTGGCTAGCCTTATCCAAAGTGTAGTCCTTACCTATTTGGTATCTTTTGAGGACTTTCCCTAACCAAAAACAAACAAGAAAATCTCATTCAAGCATTCACAGTTAATGAATGACCCAATCACTTGAGTTAAGCGTGATGCCTTCTGGTTACTGGGAACACTCTGACAGGGTTGATGGGGATGGAGACACCAGAAAAGGCCCAAAGATGACCCCAGAAAGAGTGAGGGGGAAGGAAGGGAATGGAAGGAAGGGGGAAGGTAAATCCAGCCTTATATATCCCAGAAAGAAAATTATTCTAAACTCTCCCAAGATTTCTGTTGACTACAATTCCTTTAAAAGTAAAGAGTCTTTCATTCCACAATTAGAGATAAAGCTTAAAATGTACATCCTCTTGGGGCTAGTATGATTCTTTAAGTTATATTCATCACTTAAATTTGTACTTGCAATTCACATCAAATCCTTTCCTGGAATCAGGTTTTTATAAGGTTTTAGAATGTACCAAGGCACTAGAAGCCTGAAAAGGGGGAAAAGGTGTGGGCAGAGAAGGGAGAAGAAATGGAGCTGGAGAAGAGGACTTCAAGAACAAAGGAAAGGGCAATAGGTATGGGAGTAGCTTATATTTTTATAGCGTCTTCTCATTATACAGTACTTCTTTACCACAGTCCTCTGACACAGGTGGACTCAGTAGTACTCCATTTCACAGGTAAATTAAGGCTCAGCAGATGTGTCTGTAGATCTAACAGGATGCATTAGAGCTAGCATTGGGCCTCGGGTCTTCTAATTCCATGTCTAGCGCTGCATCTGGGTGGCAGAGTTGGTCGCTGGCCTGGAGTCAGGAAGACTTGAGTTCAAATCTGGCCTCAGACACATTGGCTGTGTGACTCTGGCCAAGTCACTTATCCTTTTTTGTTTGCTTCAGTTTCCTCATCTGTATAATGGGGAAAATAATAGCATCTACCTACCAAAGTTATTGTGATGAGTGCTTAGCATAGTGCCTCATCCACAGTGAGTGCTAAGTAGATGTTAGCTTCTAGCTATTATTATTAGTTATCTAACATTCTTTCCGTTATTACCTACAGAGACAGAAGACCTGTTATCTTGAGTAAGCTAATTACTTCATCTCACTTGACCTTCACCTCCTCATCTGTAAAGTGAAGTAGTTGGACTAGACAGTCCTTAAGTTCCCTTTGAGTTCTGTTATTTTAAAGCTCTAGAGAGCATATTCTTCCTTAGGGCTGGCCCTGACTGCTGTCTGCAAGTAATCGAGTGGATCATTTTTTTTTGACATTTGTCATAGCTTCACACATCTCTAACCTTGGCAGAAGAATGAATGAGATAAGGGTGATTGTATTTATGCCAGACATCCTTATAGAAAATGAAAAATTCAGTTAATCATCTAGATATTTCATGGACAAAATTTAATTTTCATTTTTCACCCAGATGGCATGACATAGTCTGGGGATAGTATGTATCTCTTATCTAAAAGGACTGTATCTTTCTTCCCCCACCTAGGGGATATGGTGATTTTTCAAGAAGCTTCAGCAGAATCCCTACAGAGAGACTGAAGCAGATTGCTAAGTGACCTTGGGCAAGTTGCCTCAGTTTCCTCATTTGTAAAATGAAGGGGTTGGACTTGGTCTCTAAAATCCCTTCTAATTCTAAAATTCCATGATTCTATGCACTATATATTCCTGTGGCTAAAACTAGCCCAGCTAAAAGATTCTTTGGGTCTGATGCATGATAACTGCTTCTGGAATAGCAGCAACTGGGTTCCTTAAACCATGCAGGGCTGAATCAGATCTTTCCTTTGGACCAGTTGTGTTGCTATAAGTATGGTCACCTAAAAATAAACCACATTCTTTCCTAGCTTGGACATTTTCTTAGTCATTTAAATCCTTAAATTAACTCTTTTTAAATATGGACATATATTCTTTCCCTCCTGTTGAGTAAAGCCACTTCAACCCATAGTGAATGATCTCTCCTTTCTCTGTATTCCTAAAGTGCTTCTCATCTAGAGCGTTCACTTGGCAATCAGTTCTAGAATTCTGGAATGATAAAACTGGAAGGAATATTACTTTGTAAATTACCTAGTCTTAATCTCTCATTTCATGG